TACATATCACTTCAATCAAGGTCGAAAATATACTCAATGCACTGCATTTTATTTGTCCCACCATTAACAAATATTTCATAAGTGATTATTATCGACATTTTTTGCATATTAACTTGATCTCAAACGTACAAAACATGTCACTTAAAGCTTGTAGTACACACATTTGTAGTCTGATTTTAAAAACCCTTTCACATAAATATTGTTTTTCCTTGTAGGGTTTACATTAAATCGTTAAGAGTTTCTCTCATCATATGTTTAAAGATAGCAATAACCAGTAAACAACCACGATTTAAAACAGTTACTAGTTGTGAGTAAAGAATAAAGTTTATGTAACTGTTTGTGAGATTTGTGTAGACGTTTATATGGTATATCGAATAAATATTGCAGATTGATTCACGATGATGTCGGATTCTCACATCACTAATCATCATTGAAATATACTAGTCAGAATAACAGCTCTTAGCTCGTTTCCGTGCATGATTAACAGCAATTGCTTTGGGATTTCTCAGAGCATACTGAAAGACTGTTTACAGTACTTAACTATTATCAATCAGCTGAGAAGACTAAGGAGACATAAAATCACATAATGCTTATCTACTTTAGAAATCAATGTATGAAATTAAATTTTATTGCCTGATCTTTGAGAAACAAAATGCCTAGAGTAAGTGCAGAGCCTTATCACTAACGTGTGCATGATTAACAAAAAAATGTGAAATTCGTGGAGACATATAACCGTTGATCTGAATCACTGAGAATTTCTTGACTAAAGTGGAAGTTATCTAGTGATCCATCGTTTACAATCGTTATTTAGCTTGTTAGTGACACTAACTAACCACACATTTATTACTAGGTTCAGTTTAAATATATTATTTATTTTAGGAATCAAGACTGTTTAAGCAATGAGTTTTGCCCCTTGATATATATATATATATATCATTTGTGTCTACGTTATACGAGTGCGTAAATATTTCATTTTAAAATTAGTGAACTTACATTCTCTCATGATTGTTCGTTTTAGGTATTATATACAAGGTTAAATTATGGATTATTTGTAACCATAACATATGTTCAACTAATTTATGTAGTCACAGATGTGATTATGACCATTATTAGGTATGTGATGTATTATTTACACTAGATATTGTCACAATATTGTATTTATCCATTTTACTAACTGACAAAATTTATAACACGTAATGCTGTAGTAAAGGCCGTAAACGATGGCATACATTTTTAGTGTGGAAAGACCTGTTCATTAAAATAAATCATTTGGCCAGGTTCAACTTAGGATAGTGAACAAAGTCTGTGTCAAAGTGTATGCAAACATGTCAGTATAGTTATTTATAAAAATTTTACTGATTATTAACACATGTTATACTTAAACATAAATATTTCAACAAAATGTTTTATCAATATTACAAAAATTCTGGTAGTTCATTGTTGTTAACCTAATTGTTTAGAATTTGATATTGATTACTGTTAATGTTAAGTGTTTCATGTAATTAATTTGGAAAATCACTATTCTTGATGCCTAAGAACAAGGTATCGTACAGAATGTAGAAGTAAAGCAATGATTATTATTCAGATAACGATATAAGATTAAGATTTTGCAGAATAATCGGAGATAAGATATCATCTCTGTGTTAGAACTAGCGAGTTAGTTTTCTCACATATAAACAAGTTTTGAATACATAATCAATGATAGGTTTTGTTTCATTGTTATATTCTAAGCGAAAATTCTAGTCGAGCTGATCAGTAAAAGTTCACCTGGCGTTCGACTGACAACTGATTAATTTGTTTACTATAACCTTTTTGATAATCAGTCAGGAATCAGTCAGTCAGTCAGATGCAACGTAGAACTTCGTACGAAAGTACATCAGTTCATGTCGCCATACCACATCAGCACAGAGACGCAAATGTCAAATCAAATCCAATAGTAGTAGAGGTAGTAAGGGAATTAGAAGTAATCAGAGAGGTTAGGATTAGAAGATACTATTCAAGAAGTATGATTCAGTGAGATAAGTTTAGAGAGTCGAAACTAGAGGTGTTGAAGAATCCAGAAGATTAGGATTTGAGAGAACACAAAGAATAAATCCACCGGCGCCATTGCGAACGATTTTGAGCCATGTCATTCAAGGTCTCTAACCATCGATTATTATCATCTCGCGGACCCCAACCAGGTAGTCGACAATTACCGACATGGCTCAGTCCACTAGTCAATGACTTCATGGATTTCTGCCATGTTTTGGTTTGGCCGCCCCTAACTTTCTTCCAACCTACTCCTACACTACAAAACAAAGTTCGTCGAGGCAGTCGGTGGTTCGGCATACGCAACACATGTCCCAACCACCTCAACTGATGAAGTTTCAATACTTCATCCATTGACCTGCCATTCTTATCTAGCACCCGTTTCCTAATAACAGCGTTGCTCACTCGGGTGTCCCAGGATATACGAGCAATGCTTCGAAGACACCTATGATCGAAAACCAGTAACCGACGAATATCTTCTACTCTCACTGGCCATGTTTCACAGCCATAAAGTAAGACGGAGCGAACCGCTGCGCAGCACACTCGTCCTTTAGTCAGCAAACGGATATCTCGCCTACGCCATAAGTGACGCAGGTTGGCAAAAGCCAAGTCGAGCCTTCTGTATCCGTGACTGAGATTTCGTCAGTCACCAGGCCATCAGCACTGATGAGACTCCCAAGATAAGTGAAGCGGTCTACACGTTCGACCAATTCACTCCCTATCACTAGTTCAGGTGCCGCATGCAACCCAAGTCTTGAAGCAACATTTTGCATTTCGAGGGGGAAAACCGCATCCCGAACATGCTTGCATTGTTGCTTAGGGTAGTCAGAAGACTCTGCATTTTGTCAGCATCTTCACCAAGTAGGACAATGTCATCGGCATATTCTAAGTCAATAAGCGAGCCACCTGGTAGAAGGTCTACTCCAGAAAATTCAGACGAGGATAAGGTTATTTCTAGGAGCATGTCTATGATAAAATTAAACAAGAATGGAGAAAGTGGACATCCCTGACGGACACCACTTGAAGTAGAGAATTCCGGTGACAGTTCGCCATAAACCCTCACTCGACAAGTGGTGTTCGAGTAGAGAGCTTGTATGAGGTTAATGTACTTCTTTGATATAGGCGGTTATCTGAGCATAGTTGCAACAGACGGTCGCCATTGTCTGTTCTCTCAGTCGCTACACCATAACATCCACCTAGATGTCTTTCCTTTTCACCTAGTCTACCTACTTGAGCATTAAAGTCACCAACCATTATTACTATATCAGAGCGCCTAGCTTTTTGGAGGAGGTCCGAAAGCTTTCTGTAAAACTCATCTTTAACCTCGTCTGCACTGCAGTCAGTGGGGGCATAGGCAGATATGACGAAGAGGCAACGGCGAGTGTCCCTATACTTACGAGTCCTTACTGTCTCGTTTAGTCGGACAGCGCACAAACGACTATCTACAGGGATCCAGTCAAGGAGAGATAATTCTGCCCTAGGACTCGACGCTATGCCTACGCCAGCAAGACCCCGGGAAGCAGCATCAGGGCTACCGGATACACGAAGAGTGAATCGGGCTGGTTCTTCGTTTTGACAAGGTGCAATCAGGTTAATGACTTTACCAGGATCCTGTATGCGCGTTTCCGAGACGCAGCATACACCGATGGCACGAGTTTCTAAAGTCCTAGCTAATGATGCCTGTTGCCCTATTTGACACAATGTCCGTACATTAAAAGCTCCAACATGTAGTCCAGAACGGGGTTTCAAGAGACCAGGAACAACGTTTCGTGATCTCGCTTCGTCTGCATTAGCGGTGCAGTGAGAAAAGGGAGTGTGAGTAGAGTTAGTCGTAGAGATAAGAGAGACATTAGGGGGTGTAGGAAGGATTTGATTTTGACCAATTCGGTCTCGCGTGCTGTTACAGGTATAAGGGCGGTTGTCACTTCCCGGCTGCCCACACCGTGTAACGGCGTTTCCTGAGGGACCTGAAAAAGAAGATAGATTAGTGTTGGTCTCAGAGACCTAGCTGCGTGACCGCAGAGCCCAACGGACAACTGCTTGTAGCCGGTCACGCACGGCCTTTTTATGAAAGGTATTTAGAGGATTAGCTCCGTTCTTAAAGGCTCTTAGTGGGCACCATTACCCATGGAGACGGAAATCCGTGAGTTAGGGGGTGTGTGACATTTTTAGGGTTGACATTTTCTAACCCTTCCTTCCTTGTGAGAAGGCAGCATCGCTGCAGATGCTGGTTGTCCGATGGAAACACGTTACTGCTGTCACACCCCTCTGCAGTCAGCAGTACGACTTCGCCTTCAGACCTTGGGTAGCTGCTTTTAGTCTCATCGTTCTCCAATCGACCAGCCTGGCATGGTAGGACCTTCAGGAACATATATTCCAGCCAGTATAGCTCGGTTGGGTCATCACGATAGGCAAGCCCGACCACCACGTAAAGGTGGCAGCTTCGGTCGGGGATGTTATAATCCACTTATCACTCGTCTTCTGATGAAATGACCAATTGTTTGCAATGGCGCAGGTGCTTACACTCTTTGTGTTCTCTCAAATCCTAATCTTCTGGATTCTTCAACACCTCTACCTTTGTTTTTCTAAACTTATCTCACTGAATCATGCTTCTTGAATAGTATCTTCAAATCCTACTCTTCCCCATTACTAATAATACTTCTACTGTCTCAGTCACTGTGGGATTCGAATTGACAATTGCGTCTCTGTGATGATGTGGTATGGCAACCTGAACTGATGTACGAAGTTCTACGTTGTAACCGACCTACGAAATGACCAATTAATACTAGTGAGTCCAACAAAGTTGTCAGATTATATATATATATATATATATATATATATATATATATATATATATCATTAAATAATTCAAAAATCAGTACCACAGTCATCAAAAGTTGTATATATTTGGTTGTGTTGCTGGAAGATATGTCACACTTCTATCCAATTTTTCAATCCTAGAAGCATTCAATATGACTCAAAGGATTGCTTCACATACTACTTCCGAAGTACCGCAAGGTTTATGCAATTCTTCTATGGACGCCTCACAAATTACATCGTTTGCTGATGCAATTTCTAACCAAGGTGCTGATATATGCAAAATAGAGCACACGCAATTTGGTGAAATTTACGTATGTAAACTGTGCAATGTGAAGTGCACTGGTAAGGCGCCATTTTCTCAACATATAGCTGGAGCACATCATCGAAGAAGCTGCAATGCCCGTAAGCTTCTCACTTCTTGTTAATACTATTTTTTTTGATATAGAGACATTTTTCTGTAATGATTGCAATACAAACCTCAACTCTCCTGTACAATATACTCTACATTGTGGTGGATCAAAACATATACGAAATACTCTTTATTCCTCTGACAATTCAATGTCTGAACAGTCAGGACTTGACCAACATTTCAATAAAAGCGATAACGTTCCTTACTTTCGTATACCGTGTGGTCTTAAATGCTCTTCAAAAGAGCAACATCAAGTATCTCTATCAGGCCAGTTTGAAGAGTATATTCTGAATGAAAAACCAATTCAGCAGACTAACCAACCTGATTTCCTCTCTTCGATATTTACTTTATTCAGTTTAGCTTCTAATAGTTCGGCCAACCCACTGATTTCAAAAATGGTTCCTTGTCTGAAAAATATCATAGAGCTGGAGTCCAAGTTAACACTAACAAATAACTTATCTCCGTCTGTGGCTTCGCTCAGTCCCTGTTCATACCAACAACAAACGAACTTGAATAGTAGTGTGTTACCTAATCAGCAGGATAAATGTGACTCTCCTGGACTCATACAGTTTTGCAGACACAGTGAATGTGTTTTGTTGAGGTCATTACAGGTATGAAAAACGACTAATAGTGATTTGCATCATAACTTGAACTTTATTTTAAAATGTTTATTATTAGTATGAGCAGATTGTCAGATACATTTGTTTATTTGCACTATTCGATTACAACACAAGTACTTGATCCAGGAGCATTAAAAAATGTGCCACAGAGTTTATAAATATTTTATAGGAGTTAAAGACAGAAAAGTTTATGTTTGATACGATTATAGTGTTGAAGGATGCGAATAAAATAAGAACAGACAAAGAAATGATAGCACGAATCGCTTCATCCCTGAGGGTCCTTGTCATTTCCGATTGAGTATGGCTTTCTAGCCACTGTATTTTATGGTACTGATGTGATCTTATGCGTAGGAAATTTTCGGATATTGCTGTTACTGTGATTCAAACTAAAAAGGCAGATGGGTGTTGAAATTTGTGATAAGTATACATTAACCCAATGTTTGTGAGCTAGGTTTTCCGGCCTTCAGTCACTCACCCTCTAAATCACCTGGATGAAAAATTGATGCCAATTCTCTTACTCTTAGTGTGTTTGAGATAATAGTAATTTAAAAACTAGGGGATGTAACAGATCCAGATGGATTAGTTTTACAGACCAAGAAGGATACTAATCTAGTTCCGGAAGTTAAATCGACTAATCTTACCTAGAACCTGGAAACTGAACATAATTCAACGTGACTGGTCCTGATCGTGCCACTTCATAAAAAACGAAATCTTTTTGTGACAATCACAGAGGAAATCAGCTTGGCCAATATACTGTCTAAAATATAACTGCGTAAAGAGCGAACCCGATACGACCAGTCTGGTTTCAGAGCTGGGTGTAGAAATATTGACCAAATACACACTTTTCGTAAGGTTCTGATACGTAGAGATACTTTTCGATACCTGATTACGGATGTATTTCTTTATCTTGAGGCGACACAGGATCCCGTTGGTCGAAAGGTTGTGCATCAGTGGTTACCATTAGAAATGATACCAACGAAGTACATTGTCCTTGGACAGGCTGTATGCCATAACACCACTAGTCGAGTTATAGCTTATGGCGATATGTCGTCTAAATTCTCAACCTCAAGTGGTGTTCGTCAGGCATGTCCACCTTTACTACTTCTACTCAACTTCATGATGGACGTTCTTCTAGAGACAACACCCTCATCGTCTGACTTTTCAAGAATTGGTTTCCTACTATAATACTCATTCGCTAACTCCTGTTTGATCAATATGTTGACAAAGTGCAGTCTTCTGATCATTTAAGCAGCAATGCATGTATGTTTGGGACGCGTCTGTTTCCGTAAGCGAGATGCATATCTTCCAACTAAAGGGCAAGTTTTTCGCGTAACAATCCCCCCACTCATTCTAATATATGAGCGTAAATATGGCCATTAAGATTATTGGATGTTCGTAGGTTATTTGTACTCAGTCATAGTTATCATAGAACATCTTCGATGTATTTTCAGACCACTGAGCAAGTAGATTTGGAGTTTTAGGTAAAGATGATAAACCACTTTGTGAGTTAGTGACTGTCCATCTACTCAGGTAGCTGGAGCATGTATTACTTACATCAAACTACCACCTACTCCGATGGATGTAGTCTGATGAAAAGGTAGTGAACGATAAACTAAAACACGGAACCAGTGTATGAAGTAATTGACAATTAAAATGATTTATGTCAATGCATGCAGACTGTCTGGGTAGTTTTATTAGTAATATTGGCTTCATATTTGGCTATAAATCAACTCGTGGGATCCAGTTTCCAAGTTTCTGGAGCCATAAAGTGGTAACGGACAATGTAATGAGCTCAGCAGTGGGTTATGGAGAAAAAAAGAAAGTAACCATATGTCGTTCCTTTATATGATCATAGCTTGCTACCCCTTTTGGGTTTAGGGAGTTGAGAAGTAACTTCGTACTTGTTACTACTAGTCTAACAATCAGTAATCTCAGACTGACAAACAATCGGTTGTGAGTCTAATAGTTCAGCTGTATCGTTTTTGGCTTTCTTTTTGAGTGACGCATATCGGAATAATCAGTTAGCTCTTGATTGAAATGTGCCAACTACTTCAAAGATTCCTTCTGATTATTTTCACCATCACTAAATTTATCACAAACCGTGTACACTCTAAGCTAACTTGTGCATCACAAAACTCACGAATAAATGTGATAAGAATTTATGACTTTTTGAAATCTACAGTAATTCGTTGATTGATAATTGTGTTACACATATCTGTATACTTCCTTTCTGTTTACAGTTTTATGAAAGCAATTTAAACACAGAAGTTGGGAATCTTGGATGACTGGGCTGTTAATTATTTGTGGTGAATTTAATTATTTTACTGATAAATGCATATTATTTTTTTGTACAGAATCATTACAACTTATTTTATTTACCTTCTGTCATACTATTGATAACCATTAATATTGGTTTATGTTGCTAGTAAATACATTTACTGTTGTAGTAAAACTACAAACTAACTCACTCTGGATATTTGTCTCAGTTAGTCTGAAACTAGTTTTTACTAATTGACCATCTTATCTGAGTCGAATTCGTCATACAAACTTGGTAGGATTCTCCCAGCCTGTGTAATTTTAATTGGTCAGTTAAAATTTC